ATGATGTTGTTTTGAATTTTTCGAGAAATTTATGCAAATGCCGGAAATTTGACGATGCTTTTCGAAGCATTTCGTTGAATTTAATGGTATTTTGGCTGGAAAGAAATAACCAAGCTTCGATTTATTATCAATTTTGGGTCAAACAACATCAGATATATTGTTACATAAAAATTCATTGGCTTTTATGCTTTTGCGATTGCTTATGCTTGTCAATCGATTTCAACGATCGCGGCTATTTCGTTTACGTCGCCATATACGGAGAACCAGAAATAAGCAAAAAATCACACAGCGAACGTAAGAAGTACATGAATTTCGGTGAACTGTACACATTTCTAAAAACCGTGGCTATATTTCCATAAATGGCAACAACATCGTTACTCTTGTGATATATCGTTGATTCCATACGGACCACGAATGCGAACTGTGTAAAAAAAATTATGGACTCGATCAGATTTTAATTTTGGAAAAATCGTAGATGGTGTTAAGTAATTTGTCTAATGTTTCCCATCGCTTGCGGCTTTCTATAACGCATCGTCACGATCTTGGCGCGCTTTGTATGTTTGTTGTTGTCGTTTTTCTCTCAGACTAAGCACATTTCATGTGACTCCACATTTGATTGTGTGTGAACCGTGAAATTTCAGAAGGAAAAAAAACAAATCGAGTTAATTATTCCAGAAGCCACAGTCTCATTTGAATTTAATCTCGATTTTTAATTGAATTGTAAATCGATATCAATACGCCAAACCCACAATACTGTGGCAAATCTCATTTCTGCATTAATAATACGTGGTACTAATAAATCGTCTTTGGCATTCTAGGTTTGCGTTTGCGTTTATGTTCCCCATTTTGAGTTCGTTTGTTTTAATAATTTTGTGTTTTCATTTCATTGGCAAAAAACGATCTATTTGAAGCTCAAAAATGACTGATGACTGTGTCGCCGAAAGAACAAAACAAATCAAATCAACACACAGTGAATTAGATTCATTTGTGCTAATTGTTGAAACACATCATGCAGTCACCCAAATAGATTTGATCTCAGAGCATGCGAACAAATTCATGAATCGCAAATTGCGTTGAAACAGATGCGACTGAAGCATCGAGATTGATGACATTGTTCGTTGAATTTAAGGTCGAACCGAACGATTCGGTTTTGAATTCGATTTCATTGATTCGAGCGAAAAATTAATGACTGAAAATTGTCTTGTTTTCGACGGTCGTTTATCAGTTTTGAGTTGAATTTATCGCATGTTGCCAGCAGCTACTTTATTGATTGGGGTTGCTATTAATAAATCATAAAATCAATGGTTGGCATTTATGAACTTTGACAAAAACCGCACATACACACAATCATCGTGTATGACAACCGCACCGTATCGGTCGTAGTTTCGTTTTCATTGTGACATTCGGGAAAAATCGTTTTTCCATTGACTCGTAGCAATTTTATTGAAATGAAACTTCCATTCTTTTTACTTCGACAATTTTCTTGGATCCAATTTTTTTTCTCGTTCCGTTGAAAGTAACTGTCACTGCTTGGCACATCCAAGACGCGAACGGAAGCAATATAAAGGCATTTTATTTTGTTTGGGTTTGTTTTTTTTTCTTTCTTGTTTTTTTTTTTCTTCTTCTTCAAAGTTCTCGAAGGAACTCATGGCTTTTGTTTGATTTAACAATATTCGGTTCGTTCGATGTTCGAATATGCTGGAATATGTTCCCAATTATTTATTGCAATCATACAAATGAGGTGGGTGCACGAAAAATATGTTGCACGAAGTTGATGGAATGGAAAAATATAGGTCAGCACACTGTGTGGAAAAATCGCATTCGCCCGACCTATCGACTATACATTCAATGCGTTACTAAACACGTACGACTTTTTTACTTGTTTGTTTTCAATCTTCAGTGCGAGCTTCAACTCGTCATTCTATATATATATATCAAAATGCAATAAATCGATATACGTAGCGTCAACACAAATGTGTGGCGCTTGAGCTCGAAAAAAGAACAGAGAGAAGCAAAAAAATCCAACAAAATATGATGACATTTATTTTAATTGCGTTCTCAATGCAGTTGGTTTTAATGGAAACGAATAAGAACTGGTTCGTTTCACACGCGTAATAGAAGAGCGGCCGAAAGCTAATGTATGACATTGGTCTACATTAAACAGGGTTTCAACACTCAATGCACGCAACTCAATGAATTTTCGTCAAAAGAAAACCGATGAAATGCACGTGTGGAAACTGCCAACTATATTTTTTTTATATGCAGAATCAAATATTTATTTTCATTTCATTTTCTTCCATTCAGGGAACTTCAATTGGTGAACAATGCATGAAGCATTAAAAAAAGAGGCTTAACCTTAGCATAATAAACGAGTTGTAAATCAGCTAAAAGTTTACTTGATTTTTATGATGTTGGCCAAGCTTTTATAGGCAATCTCAAGGCATTGTCATGATTGACATGGGACAAAAATCCATGTGCAACAGAATTAAATAATGTGGAAATCGAATAAGAGATTGAAATCGAACGCCTCATTTGTTTATTAAGCTATAAAAAAAATAAATTCAAAAATTGCATTTGAAAGAAAAAAAATACTTCGAAGCCATAAAAATACCTCGCAGCGATAAAAATGCTTTTAAAACGATAAAACTTCTACTCATCGATAATCAAACGGCTTAATTCACCCATCCGTCCCAACAAACGTGTTCAATGTGATGAGTATACTAATTATCCTTACATAATTTCGATTAAAGGCGAATCGATAATAATTTTATCGGCGGTAAATGTTTATCAAACGCATTTCCAAGCACATTTGTTTGAGCGCCCGACGAATGATTAATATTTGTTGGTAGCTTTTCATCAAAAATTGTTGCGTGCGTGTTGAAAATCAGTTAAACGGTTCACAACGTTGAATTTACGAATCAGTTAATCCAAAAATCTGCACCAAAAAAACAACGGAAACTTCATAAACATATGTGCAAACATTAAATGAAGCAAACAAACCGCACTACACCGCGTACTCGTATGGCTGTATTATCCTGTCTTGAACACACGCTTAATGAAGCATGTGCTGTAATTACGGGTGCTATCGAGGCATTTATCATGGAAATTTCATAACACAGCATAATGAAAAATGGAAAATACTTCAGCACTTAAACTGGGTAGTGAGAGTGCCAATAAATTATTCGCGTACCGACGTTAGATTACTCGATGCAATGTAATGATTGCATTAAAACGCGGCTAACTAAAGCCAATTTAAAATAATTAGCACATTTGGAAAAATCGAACTCGGTTTTTTCGGTTCAATTTTCATTACGTTGTACTTCGAACGGCACTTATTCATTTCGACTTGACAACCAAGTACAGAAAAATAGATAATCGAATATCACATAAATCAATTCAGCCTGATTAATGTGGAGAAGATAATTTTTCGCATAAATATTGTCTCAAGACTTATCAGCTTTAAAGGAAAAGTAAACATATCCAAATTTTCGACTACAAGCCTCACCACTTAACGTCGACTTTGTTTTTGCACATTCCAGCAATTATTTGTTTTTATGTTTTTAATTAGCAAAAAGTTGTGTTATTGTCATTATTACCTCTTGTCGATTGTCGTATGTTCGGTGCGGTTGGTTCTGAATTCCGATATTGTTTCACTTTATTTACTTTTCAGAATGGTTATATTTTGACTGTGAAGTTTAAATAGTATCAACAAATAATAATGAACGACTCTTTTTTTCTTCTACTTCTTTGATTTGGTTTTCCGATTGTGTACACAAAAGTGAACTTTTTTTGCGGAAAGAATTATTAAATCCACGCAAAATATTCTTTTTCTTTTAAGTTTCTTTTGAAAATCCTACACAATGGTTCTGTTGTGTTTGGTTGTTGTTTGGTTCGATTGGAGCGAGTAAATTGGTTTGAGAATGAGGAAAAAGCACTAAACGACTGTTCGCGACAACGGTTCGATATGAAATGAAACGTCTTGTAATGACGCGCGCTACTTTTTATATGCGGTGTGTTGTGTGTGGATGGAGAGAGAAAGAGAGAGAGTGAGTGAATACAGTCCCTATAACAACAATGTGTGGTTTTGTTGAGCTCACTGAACAGGCATGAATGTTTTGGTATTTCATATATTCAGAGCTGATGGTAAAAAGGTAAATAAATGTGAATCGAATAGACAAGTTCGATAGGTGTGTTTGGGTTGAACATATGATTTCATGTGTTCACAAACTTTTGAACTCCGACAAAGTAAAGGGCGAACAGTGAACATCATGAGATAGTAAAATGAATGCAAAACAATTTAACTTTTTTTCTTTGTCGTTCCAAGTCAAAAGTTTCAAACTCTTTTAATTTATATCCATCGTGTGTGTTTTTAATATCTCACCTCCACCAACGTCATGACGTGTTCGTTTTGAGCTCAGATCCCACTCTACCTACTCGCGGTGAGTCAATTTCAGTATCCAAGCGTTGACCCACCATATAAAGTTTCAACTCGCTTTTTAACACTTTTTTTTCACTCGTGCCTCAACCTCTCGCACGATCTCTCGTCAACACGTCTTTTTTATGGGAAACAATATTCTATTCAACTCTTTTCTATTCTCTTTCAATAAGCTAGAAATATAATATGCAAATAAATATTCGCATGTTTTGTTAAATCTTAAATGTAAAGTCTTTATTGAACATTCTTTTCATTACGTCAACAGCAAATGGAGCTGCCATAAATCGAATCCATTTGAATAACTCCATGTTATTCATTAAACACTTTATCAGATTCGGGCATGTCTTGAATACATTGTCAGAACAATTTGCAATCGACAAAACATCGATGTCCACATTTGCATCGACACACATGATTCACTAACCGCATCTGAATGAGAGCAAATACAAAGTTGATAGCGAAGTGCACTGTGACCAAGTGATTGCTAAATATAGAATCAATTACATATAGATAGGTGTATGTATACTTTGTGTGGCTTGAGACGTCAAAGCAAATGTAAATGAATCCAGTTTACTTTGACAGATCGCCCGATGTTAGCGAATCAAATGTTCCGCGATTTCCGTTCGCTGTAGCACAATTTCTCTTCAAAATAATTGAGTGTTTTTTCTATTTATAATTGAAACCTGAAGTTTGTGGAAGTGTTCAAGGAAAAATGAAGCTATTAAAACGAGCTGTTGGCATTACATTTACACTGATACTGGTGTTGGGATCGCAATTTTTCGGTATACATGAATATTCTTTACGCTATTTGAGCATAAATATACAGTACTTTGCAGAGTGTGCACAGGTCACAAATCGTACTGCCCAGACGCAACGACCAACCGTCAGTACAACAATAAAACCAACTACTACAATACCTCCACCAGCACCACCGCAAACGAATTGCCTTGAGAATCCAGACAATAGCGACCCACATAAAGCTATCGGAAAGCATCCTGTGTCGCGTTTGTTCGAAATTCAAGCAAAAAATCACGAACCAGTGCCCATTTTCAAAGATATCGGCCAACGAGGTCAACCAAATCAAAATAATGTGGAGTTTCACGTTCAAGTGACGATCAACAATAGAACGGCATCGGCTTGGGCACGGACAAAAAAGGAAGCCAAACGTCGTGCAGCAATTGAAATGCTCACACAAATGGGTCTGCAAATTGAAGCGGATAATTCTAACACAATCAATCCTTGTTGAATGGTGAATCGTGTAAGAAATACATTTTAATAGACTTAATTTGATTCAATCAATTCGATTGATATTTTTTTCTTGTATGTAAATTGAGCAGATAATAAATGCGCAAAAAACTGTTGAAATGTTGAGTTATGAGTAATGTTTGGTATGTGTTTATGTCTACGGCCTGGGTACGCATTTCTTTTCTTCATTATCAATATTATTTCGTCCGACTGATAACAAAATACGAATCTGTAGGCATATTTGCACTGTACAAACAAAATTATGTTATCAAAGGAGTCAGACGATGGTTGTTTAAACAGATATTTCCTGTGAAAACACTCTACTCTGGCTTCAGTTCATTTTTGTCTGTGCAGTAGATCGAACGTAAAAATGTTTCAAGCAAAAATTCTATATTTTTTGGTCGCTGCTTCAGTTGTGGTTTGTGCGATTGAAAGTAATGAGGGTTTTGATACTAAACGTTCGGCTGTTTGTTTGATTTATCGCATTGCTCAACACAATCATGTGAATGCAACGTTTACAAAAGTGAACTTTGAGCAAAAAAAATGGAACCACACACGTCGAATGTAAATTGAAGTTGGGCAATGAAGAATACACGCGGAATTCAACGGCATTTGGAAAGGCAAAAGAGAAAGTAGCTCGCGAAGCATATGCTAAAACGAGATATGCAAAACCTTCTATCCAAAATAAAACGTGTTTAGTTCCTGTGCATTCGACCAAAAATGACATTAGTCTTTTGGAAGAGTATGCAGTTGCTGTTGAGAAATTTGTTCGGTACGAGGAGAAACCACACGAATGTAAATGCAAGTTTGAATATGTGGTAACAATCGATGGAAAATCAGCATCTGGCATCAGTGATAAAAAGAAAAAAGAGGCCAAACGATTGGCTGCAGCCCGTTTAATTGAAAAAATCGGAAGGGAATCACTCATCAATACATTGTCTGCGAAATACAATGCTACCGATTACCACAGTATGGAGCCAAAGCAACGCCTACGTAAAATTGTCCAAGTTACGGATTTGTCGGGTGATGGTGTCTACTCAAAACATCAAGAGACAACTGAACGGAAGGGAGGCAAGACGGTCAAGCGTATTGTTATGCAAGTCGAAGCAAGAAGTTCAATGGCAGCCGGCTCGGGATCAACAGTCGAAGAGGCCAGTTCAATTGCTGCCGCTAATTTACTACGCCACTTGGGCTTTGTGGTTGATTATCCACCAAAAACACAAAATTGATTTGAGTAAAAGATTATAAAAAATGAAATTTTATATCAAGAATAAACAATAAAAATGCCACACAGTCGTTGTATTCAGTTCGATTCTTTGAATTTTATTCAAATGTTTATGCGATTCCATTTGCATTCATAAAGTAATGTTTTAGCGCATCGACTGCTTTGAAACGATGAGAGATGCTGTTCTTGGTTTCTTTGGATAATTCAGCGTAAGTTTTTTGAAATCCATTTGGCTGGAAACATGCATCAAATCCGTGGTGTCGTGGTCCGCGTGGGTCAACGATTGTGCCTTCAGTCTTTCCTTGGAATAGTAACACTTCCTCATTTTCGCCCGAACTGTAAGCAAGGGTGCAAATAACTGTAGCGGATTTATCCTCAAATCCAACCAACATTTTGTATAGCCCATCCACACCAATCTTGTCGTAAAACCACTTTATGTATGGACCTGCAAATCAAAAAAAACTACTTATAGAAGTTGATACTATTTCAAATAAATACAATTCAACTTACCGGGCATTCCGCCGAGTGCATTGAAACACAAGCATATATCTTCAACGATGACGGGCCCTTGAACATGCTTTGCAGCCTCTTGACACTTCTTGATGCTGATTTCATTCATTTCACCTTGGCAGTCCGACAAATCGAAATTCATTGAAACCAATTCACGTGGAAACTCTTTGCCCAATATTTCAATGACCTCCTCTAATTTCTGATGATTTCCGGTAATGAATGTAATCGGCTTCGACTGCATCATAACACGAAACTTTTCAAGCTTTTATTTGATGTTGAATGAAACTGTCAATAATAATCAAATGTCCTATGTTGTCTATTCTCTTCGAAAATTAGTTAAACTGCGTAAACTGCGTTAATCTTCTTCAAAAATGAATAAATTATGCGTGAATCAATGGTTTATCTAGATTGATAGGACTTTGATACCAATCACAGACTGATGGTGGTTTCCTAGTCGCCGACAACACATTGACATTTCTACTTTGACAACCGGCTTTTTCTGTATTTCACAGTGGCACTACAAAAGAACAGCTGTTCTGAATGTTGACACACATTGAACTATGCTTACCATGGAAATGTTCGGAAATGCCCATCCCTTGAAAACAAAATTAATCTCAATTTTTATTTTATTCAATTCATTTTTTTATTCACTCACAACACGAATTTCACATCATAAATCTCTGGACAAATGTTAGGTTATGCATAACCAAAATTATGATTCGTTTTTTGACCTACTCTATTTACTTTATTTGTGTTTGCTTTACAAAAATACTCCATAAATATGAAAGAATGTTTGAAATTAGTCTAAATTGTGTTTCAATTTAACAGTCTATCCATTTTCCCTACGAATACACACCCATCGAGACCCAAAATTATTTGGACAGTTTTCGTGATTGTTTGTTTGCTTATGTTGAACTCTAGCGCTTCTAATCGGCTTTTTTGGCTTTAGTTTTGGCAGTTTTCGTTTGTTTGCTTTTTTGATTAATCTTTTTGCCACCGGCACCAACATTCCAGTAATAGAGAAGTTGAGCAACAATCACACCATTGCTAAGTGTTGACAAAATGTATGTGAGGATGATGAGCGAGTCTCCGGTTTCCTATAAAAATAGTAGAAATAAGGTTAGAATTCAGGTTTTTTCCCCATGAAAATCAAGAGTAAAGTGTTTTGGCCAATTATTTCTAATTTTGTTTTCACAAAAGAAACATTTTCAACCGATCAAAAACTGAGAACGAATTACCTGGATGCTTGTGAAGACACGGGCTGCGCTGCCGAAGAACAGCATGAAACAAGTGACTGCTGATAATTGACCAGTGTTTCCATTTGAGTAATTAGTCCAAGCTTGAGACATTTTGCCAGCAATCACAATTGGAATGTTTAGCACCTAAAAATATCGATGCAGATTAGCAATTTGATCTCTAAGCGTTAGAACTCGTCAATTGAACCATACTTGTAATGACCACAACACATCGATCGATGTGAGTCCTCCCATGAGCGTATACGATGCTGCAACATAGGCCACCAAGAATACCACCATTGGAATAAATTTGCCACTGTAATGTAGAACTAATGCAGCAATCACAGCGGTCTGAACAGCCAAAAACGAGACATCTCCCCATGAACTGAATGGAAATCCTAGAAAGATGCAATCAATTTAATTTTTTGTCCAAATGGTTTGACATTCATTCAAATTTCGAAACAAACCTTTCACAAAACTGTACGATAAATTGAGCGTGATTGCCGTTAGCTCCAAAAATACGGCGAAAATATTTATGCCAGCGCCGCTTTTGTTTGATAGAATCTTCAGGATTTGTGGCACCTTCACGAACAATGAGCCGGCAACAATTCTGTTTTTTCCATTCATAGAACATTCCATTAATTAACAGTCAATTGAAAGTGATTAATATTTAAATAGCCGGCAATAATTACCCATATCCTAGTGTTTTGCTTAGTAATCCCTTGAAGCAAGCAACTGAAAAAATAGACGAAATTTAATTGAATCGATAAGCCTATACTAAATGCCACTAATTGGTGTCCTCCAAACAGTTAATTTAACTGAATAAACCATGGAAATCGATAGATAAATGGACAATTACCGTCAAAGAAGTTGTTCTCATAGAAATATGTCTCGTAGCATTTTTGCGATATCAATTGAAGAGCCAAAGTTCGAAATAGTGCAGCCATTTTCGTATTTTTCCAAAATTAAACGTCTGAATTTTTTGGTCTAAACTACAATTTATTTCGTAATGATAAATGAAATCTAAGGCAGCTAATTAATTGAATGAAACGGCGGCACGATGTAATGCTGGCAATAAACTAAGGGCATAAACGTCAAGTGACGTGCACTTCAACTAAATCAGTTGACTACGTGACACTTCGAATTGAAGTACTAGATCGCATTTTTCGAAATTGCAGCTCTAAACTGAGACTTTTTTTGCCCAATTTTGCCCAAAGAAAAAACGTAGTTGGTTTATTACGAAAATAATTGTTTTATTGAATTTTTTTCTTGTTCAAAATTGCTTATGCTATTTCACTTAAACTCCCATTGAAACGCTTAGTTGCTACCAAGTCCCCAATCGCTAGCCGCACCGACGGCTGCCGAATACTCGCGCACGGCTTTATCGATGATTTTTTGGATCTCTTTGCAACCATCCATGGCTGTTTTCAGCACCTTTGGCAGATGATCCAGATGAAAACGTTGTGACATTTCGAGTAGAGCCACTTTTTCGGACATTGGCAGCGCTGATATGCACAGTGTTGGACCGCCCGAGACTTCTTCAATGTGAGAAACATCTAACAATGGAATATCACCGTTGGCAATCGATGCAGTACATGCACAAACGTATTCACGCAAACAAATGCCGGCATCGACCAGAGCCAATGTGGCTGCATTTACCGATGCACAGTAGGCTCCGCCATCAGCCTCAAGAATTTCAACGAATACATCGATCTGGGAACGCTCGTACAATTCAATCATAATAGCTGCGGACAGCGATTGTTTCAAATGAATGGCCATCTCCTCCGATTTACGATCACCGCGCGGTCGATTCTTTCGTTCACTGGTCGAAAATGTAGCCATACTGTACTGGCAATTCAATACAAAGTCATCATTCTGTTTGGTTTGTTTGTGCGGCCCGTACCTAGAATTTCGAAATACTGTGAATTGTTTGCAGCTGCCCATCATTTGGAATATCAAAAAAGTATACGTACACTGCAACCAAGACTTTGGTATTTCCCTGTTCCAAATATGCACTTCCGTCGGGCTGTGTGAAAACACCTAATTTATACTGAATGCGTCGAAGTTCGTTGGCTCGTCGACCATCCAACCGTAGACCTTGATCCGAAATTAGCTCCTGTTCACTAGACATTTTCGATTTTATGTCGGATTTTTTTATCGGCCCAAAAAAAAAACACATGTACCGTCGTCAACACAAAACTATCAATGAAACGATTTGACGTTTGTGTAAACAGGCGCTACTTCGAAAACTAGACGTTTATATTGTGCAAGGCTCGTTCACACTACGCACATGTCAACTGGTTCGAACACATTCGCTGCCTGCTTGTGTGTGCGAGAGTGAGAGTTAAGAGAATAACACACATCACATTGAGAGAGCAATGCAATTTTTATTGACATTTCATCGTCGTCGTCGAGCCATACGCAACTTATCATCATTCAGTACGACACATAGAAAATCAGTGATTGTTGGAACAACACATAAGGATGAAGTGTCATCGTAAATTTGTCGACAATTTATTGTGGGCATAAAGAAGAAACACGAGTAAGAAAAAAAAGGCGGAAGACGAAGAAAAACAACAACAATTACGCCAAAAAGTAAAAGTGATACATTTGATTGGTGAAGGGATAGCATTTTTTTGTGTCCAGAAAAAATGGTGTCACTCATCAAAAATCAGCTCCTAAAGCACTTATCACGGTGAGTTTTCGTGTATTCCAGTTCAGTGTGCGTGTATGAAAGTCCGAGCAAGAATTTTTTTTTTCATTCACTTTCTCTCAAACTACTCAGTATAATTCAATTAGAATAACAACAATGAACAAAAAACACGATAACAACCATATTTTTGTTAGTTGTTTGAATTTCAACGTAAAATTTTATTACTCTTTGTTTCGGAAGCCACGGAAATTTTGCATCAGTCTTTTGTTTTAAAAAATTCCTTAATTAAACGTTCGTGTTTATTTTGTTCGTCGGGGACTTTTCAATACATCTGCTACTGTTGTTATTGTTGCTATAATTTCTGTCCAGTTCATTTATCACAAACGGTGTAAATGTGTGTGTATTTGCGTACGGGTGTTTAAATTTGTCATTATGTTAGTAAAATTAAACCTTAAATGGCTTTTGAATGTGTTTATTTGAATTTAAAGTGGAATTGTTTGCTGATTCTTCGAAATTCTCATCAAGCAGAATGATCATTTCTGTTGAAAGTGACGGGAAATTGTTATGTGCGTGAAAAATCGATTAAAAATAAAAACATATTTGTTTTGCACCGTTTCAATGGTTTAGCACGGATACACACATACAGAACGAGTATGTGTATTGTGTAACGAATTTTGCTACATTAAACACATTTTATTGTTATGCAAACGACTTAATGCACATATATGCAACGCAAGCTGAAAATACAATCGACTTCAAAGAAGTGAAATGTTTCATCTAGAGCTCGGTACAAAAAAAGAAACATTGCTACACTCTGACATGAGTAATTAAGTTATTTATGTGTAGTCTGATAACCTTTATGGTTGGTGGATTGCATCGAATGAGCGAAATCGTGCTCTATCTCTCTCGCTCTCTCTTTCGTTGCGCTCCCAAACGTCTGCGTCCATTTCGAGTCTCGGGCATACATCAAACATATTTTTACATATTGATGCATATTTAATGAGCAATTTTTCCATGATAAGCTCACTTCAAAGATACATAAATTTACGTGATGAAAATTTATGCTTGATTCTTAATTGGTGGTCTGGGTGCTGTACGCTCGCTTATCGTGCTTTTATCCGAACACAAATTTGATTGTCATATTTTATTTAAATGCATATAAAGTCAATCAAGAACTCATAAATATGAAAATTTTTGAATAATTGAACAAAGAACGCACACATTATGTGTCGATAGGAGATTGGTTGTTAACCAAATGATTCATCAGCAACTTTGATAATTTCGACGCACCATTTCGTGTACGGTTCAATTTAATGAATTTTTACCATGTGTGATTCACAGCCTTACACAATAGCAAATTTATGCCCGCTTGAGACATAAAAGTTTTTATCTTTGTCAAGTACAAAACACTCGAAACTAGAACATTGGTTCACAAGAAATTAACGAGAATGGCAAAACATACCGAGTTAACCATACTCAATATGATTAATTGTTATATGCCATGCATTGAATAGTCTATACATCGTCACTGATTCGCAGTTTCATTTTATCATTCAAATCGTTTTCCAATTAGTCACGAACCGTCGATTCAATATTAGCTTTGTTGTAGCTGTTCATTTGAAATGTTACTTGTGTAATTCAGACAAATACAGCCCTCATTTGAAACTAATTCTCGTCAGCTTTATGCAATGAATAGCTCAACTTGAGCTGTATTGACTTATTGATTCCATTCATTCTCCATACAGGAGCTCGACAAATAGCATTAAGTCTATGAGAATCCCATATGAAATTCAATTATGTCGCATTTTTTTAATGCTATATGTGTTGATCGATAGTCTATTCTAATGCCACAATAGCAAAAAATAATAATTTCGCTAAAATAACCACACTTGTCAATATGTTATCTAATGACCAGAGGCATTTAATCAGAAAAATGCTCTCACTGTTAACACTTTTTTTTTATTAAATGGACATGTGAATGGTTAATGCAAATTTGTACCATTTCCTTTAACAGATGATTCGTTTTTATCCAACGGCACTAGACTAGCGCTTTTTTAGTCTACTAAATATGGCATAGTAAGTTGATATGCCAAAGGTCAATTGTTCATATAAAAAAGTCATTTGTATGGAAATTTATTAGGCGTATGGCAGCTATCGGTGTGTGTATGTGTACTGTATTCGATGTGCAAATCCATTTTACACGAAATCAGTTCATGAAAATTCAAGACGGCGACGCGGTGGCGTCATGTGAAATAAAGAAATCAGCAGGCTGTTAATCCGCTTGAGATGTGCGGTCGACGCCTCATTTACTCGCTGTTTTAGTGATAATGCATGCATTGTATTGAATCAATACTAATGATAGTTCCTTACAAAGTCGGCAGAATGAAAAGTGAAAGCGAATAAGAATGAAGATAATTGACGTTTAAACAAACAGTACACAATTTGAATTGGCATCAGCTCATATCAATGTGCACATTTTTTTTCATTGATTTTCATGAATTCAATTAATTGAAAAAAATTCTCATTTGTTCATTTGTTTTCGTCTCTTTTCAGTTTTGTCAAAGATTTATCGCCGGACAAAATCAATGTGAGTGCATTTCGGGGCGAAGGTGATTTATCGAATTTGCAATTGAACGAAGATGTATTGACCGAACTACTAGAGTTACCGTCATGGATACGACTGACGTCGGCTTGGTGCAACCATGTTTCCTTCCGTATCAGTTGGACCAAATTGAAAAGTGTGCCAATAACATTGGTAAGGCTTGGATCACAGAGAAGGCTTCCCGCGTTCAATGAATGGCATTTTCCGTTCAATGAACGGCTATTATTCATAATAGTTTTTGCCATTTTTCCAAAGAAAAATGTTTCATTTCACACATATATTGTGTATTTTGCAGAGCTTAGATGAAGTGAATATAACGATAGAAACGTGTGAATTTGGGCGAAATGAGAATAGTGGAGCGGGTGGATGGCAATCGTTGACAGCGCCAAAGGGAAAATACAATTTTATCGATAAAATTATCGATGGAATCACAGTCACTATTAATACGGTTAACATTAATTTTAAGAGTCCAGCATTCATAGCATCGGTGCAGGTGAGATTATCCGTGTCAAACCCATGATTGATTGAAACGTTACTAAATTCGATTAATTTTCGTTAGATGTCACGCATTCGCGTTGAATCAAAAACACCGAAATGGCTAAGCGGAGACTTACGTGTGACACGATTGAAAGACACCGTTAACGGGCATTTGCTGATATTCAAGGAATTGTCATGGCAAACGGTGCGAATTGAAGCGAGTTCCACACAAGATAAATCGCTAACACCACTACGTCTGTTGACGAATGAAGCGCGCTGTCGTATTACAATCAAAAAGAAACTTGTCGATTGCACGATACTGGCATCGCGATTAGTTCTAGTCTTAGACGATTTGCTATGGGTACTGACTGATTCGCAATTAAATGCTGCCCTACATTTTGTCGATTCGCTCGCTAGTCTGATCAAAACGTCGACAAATCTCACGCAGAAGACAAAAGCGAAGAAAATTCTGGAACAACTGCCCGAATATCAGGCACAAATAGCACAGCAATCCCGACAACAACAGAATACAAATGAAGCCAATTCCGTCATATCAGCAGCTCAACGATCGTTTAATATGTTTGATGTTAAGGAAACGTCCTATCATTTCTCTAGCCAACGCATCGATTTGCATCTGTGTGATGATGCAGGAAGTGAGTGTTTTCTCTTCGAATTTGTAAGCGATTGAGGGATTTTCAATGGGATTACTTTTAGATGGTCGATCATGTTATCCAGACTTGTGTGATGGAGGTGCACTTCAGATATCGATTCACGGATTTCAGGTCGATTACTTTCCATTCCATTTGGCCAAATATAATCGTGCCCATTGGCCTAAGTGAGTATTTTGCTTCTTTTTCGAAAGATGAAGAAGATTTTTTTTTGATAAATTAAACAGAAATGATTAAACATATCGTCATTCCAGGTACAAAGAAGCAGCTGTCCCACCAGCTTTGTGGCTAGAGCAATCATTGAATGCATTCCGTGAATCATTATTGAATTTGTGTCAACCGAATCGACCGCCAACTCATGCACCGCTGGAACGAACGTCACCGCAGAATACAGCATCAAACGAAAGTTTTACCAATATGAATAAACCAAGTGCAGCGCAGGCCGCTTCAACGAAACAAATCTTGGATAATTTTAACAAATTAATGACCGCATGTGTGGTGCTACGAATTGAGAATTTTATGTTGTATCGCGTAACGACGTCGGGTAAAAAATCAATGCCAAAGGAATTTATCTCAGGTACGAATTCTTATTTCATGCCATAGCGCATTTTTCTTTCCATTTACGGAGTATGTTTGATCAATTCTTTCTTAAATACGAAAAAATTCACTAAACATACATGATTTCATTGAAACCAAAACCATAGCACTGCACAAACGGAAAAATAAATCAGGTGAATTTCTCATTTGTAACGAAATGTTGTTACACACACATACAAAACAATGAATGGAACATTATGTACTACCAGTGTTGTATTCACTCCTGAATGCATTTGCCTTTGTTTTTCATCCCTTTGGAAAAAATGCGTTTATTTTGTTCTATCGAAATAAGCTCATTTTGGATCAAAAATAACCTCCTCTTTCAATTCGGACTTATGATTTTTGTTTGTTTGACGAAGTAGATGTTGAAACCCAAAATTGCATGATAGCTGTAATTGATGGTTAATTCTTCCACTTTTATTCAACATTTCAACATTTCAAAATGTGTCTTCGTTTATTGAATTTAAAATTACACCAATCAAAATGTTAATGGCATTGAATTTGATTTGCATTTTAGGTGACAGAGAACGATACTCAATCCCCGATGACCTATCAACACTGCATGCTGAATTCACATACTTTTATTTCCCCGGTGATTTCGACTTTCCATGTAAGTGCCCACCTGCATTTCATCGACTAATAAATCCACAATAACAACTTATAATTTCCCCGCGATATTTCGCCGCTGTAGTACCACCGTCAAAAGTGTTTGTTCATGTGAACCCGGTCCAAATAAACTTCCATCTAGATAGTATTTTATGGTTAAATTCATTCGCACTAAACTTGCATGAAAATCTCCTGCGAACGTCCATGAATGCGGCCAACGAAGAAAGCAATCAAAATCGAAATGAACCCAGTTTAATGTATATGGATGTGAAAATGGAAGCAATAATGCCACGCATACTCATTGAATCAACCATTGATGCACCGAATCAACGAGATCGCCCAAAGACTATGCAAATCCAAGTGTCACGCTTTGCACTGACAAATATCCGTGAGACGGGGTCATCACGGGCCGATCTGGCAAATGCGTTGCACTCTCTACAGGAGGGCACCTTAGTTTTTGCCTCCGATTTTCCGTCAAAGACGGATGACTTAAGCGTTGTGACTGATAGAATTCTTGCACATATGGCAGGTACGTACAACGTACATACTGTGGTTAGTGTAAAAAATGAGACAAAATATTGATTTGTGATTTTTTAGCTTCTGACATGATGTCAAACAAATCATCACCAAATTCAGCGTCAGCAAATACAACCATAACAACACCGACACTAACGAAATACGCACTTTGGATTGAGCCACGTGATGTTTGGTGCATAAAACTCGATCCCATTTGGATTGAATTTCTCGGTGCTCGTTCAGTTGGTCAAAATAAAGCCGTTCCATTTGTCGATGCGGTGCCGATTACATTCTGGATACATGGCAAATCTTCCGCTAAGTTGAATGTAAGTTTGATTTATCACGTTTAACGATGTTGTAAACTCGTTGTTGATGTATCAACCATCAATCTGTGTCATTAGCATCAACAATTGTCGTTATTTTTGGACCAAAAAAAAAAAGAGCGAATCGTTAATTTTCCTTTTTTCATTCTTTTACTAGCCCACGTTAAATTCTCTTGCCGCTCAATCGATGTCGTCAATCAACCAGAAATGCCAAGACACCGGCTACATGAGTGACGATCGAAACTCAAACACCGACAACTTTGCGTACAATTCGGACTTTCTATCGCAACAAAATTACGCTCAAACCAATCCATTCTTTAGCATGCCCAGCGAGGATCATACAAGCGATAGTGATTCGACGACGATTCATGCTCGCACAGCCAAAGCATCGGTGACCTCAACAGCCGAAGACATATCAGCTGATTTGCACATAATTGCTCATGTTTCAAATTTAATTAGCGTTCAAGTTGATCATTATCAGTATCTGTTTCTACTGCGAATAGCCGAAGAATTTACTGAACTGTCGACATTTTTAACGGTCGATTCGAAGCGGATTCTCAAAGAGGAAGACGAAAGTAAATCGATTGTGATTGCTTGTGTAATACCACAAGTTGAAGTTACCCTAGTGATGCCATCGCAAACACCGGGCAAAGAATCGAACGGTGGTGATGGAGAGAGTGTATTACCGGACTCGGCAAGTTTAGGCGATGATTTACATTTTAATTCAAATAGTGTAAATGCTGCAAATTGGCCGTTGACTCTAGATCAAATGAAGAATCATCAGAATACCAACACATTTGGCAGCATCGAAACACCGTCTCCAGTTACAAACGAAGCACCCGATGCTATTTATCAGCAGTTTGAGCAAACGCAACCAATTCAATATACTTCAAGCCCAAACACGCATGGTTTCAATGTTCAAATCGTTGGAACATCATCATCAAACACAACGAGTACATCGACACCACAAAGCTCAACAACGCCCGTGTCACGTGGCAAAAATCGCAATTCCATCACTGATTCCGGTTTGAACATCGGATCTAGTCTAATTTCAATGAAAAAGGGCTTCTCCAGCTTCATGACATCTATTGACTCGGCGCTCAAAACAAACATGTCGGATGATATGAGCGACACAATTTCAATCCAAAGTGACATTAGCTCCGACTCGGAAAACTATGTTATGGTACTTGCTGATGACAAGACTGCCGACTGTATGGACGTTATGTTCAGGTATGACTCAAGAAACTCTGTTTGCAGATGCACAGTTTAAATTCACACGTCTTTCTTTTCGTTTAGGTTGAATCCATTCAATACGGACGGTACGGCTGCTAAAGCAAATACGGTTGAAGTGGCGAGTGAAGTGTGCGAAGAGCTTGACTACAAAACAAACATGTCTTCACCATCCGAACCATCTGAGGCAAGCACATGGAGGCGTCGTGACCTAGTTTCAATGGCCACTTTTCGATTGACAATGGTCGAAATCATTCGACAAAATCGTGGACCGATTTCAGCGATTCGGGTGCAGGTCAGTGCTGTGTCTTGTGATGAATGCGGTGCGATACCTTGGGATGAATTCCAGGTAAAACATTCTATGAACACGTTTGTTACGTTTGAATTTGGATGAAATTCAAATGTACAACTTTCCGCAGCATTTGAATCTCATTCCAAAACTATCATCAATCTAAATGTCATTTCAATCTTCTCGTACTAAAACAAAATACTCAATCAGTTTCTGTGTTTTCTTTTTCGACGATTATGTGCTTCAGTATGTTTGATATTACTTTTTTCAATCGAAAAAGTTATCTCAAATATTGTGTGCGAATTGGAAATGAAATTATAATAAAAACCAATGTTGTTTCGGTTTATGTTTATACTCGTGTGGCCCCTTGTCGTTTAAATATTGCGCTCAACCTGTGTGCCGTTCCTCTGTAAAGTGATTTCGCGTGGAATCATTTTAATCAATTTTATTGAATAAAGTTTCTCTTTAGTGCGTCACTTTAACGGCGGCAACGGTGGCAAGGTTAGCTCACAGGAAATGCGATTTTGTATGCTTTTAGGCCACAGCACATCGAATACATATTTTTCGCTTCAGTTTTTTTTTCTATCAAATCTCATAATATTCAATAACTCATTTCTGTTGCACTCCATGTATAAAGTTCAGGTGGCCAGTGTTGAAATAAATCAATAAATAAACCAACATCACCGGAACTTTCTACTTAAGGACATTAAATTTTTCTTACCTTTATGTACCTATGAATATATATATATATACATATAAAACAGTTAAATATGCATTGCAGCTCGTCGACCTAATTAGCTAACTTCCTTTTGGTATGCAAAGAGCTAGTCAGAAAGCTTGGAGCGTATAAAATACACTGGATACGCTTCTCTAGTATCCATGTAATTCTCTATCATTTTAATAATTCAGTCGTAAGACATTGGAGATTGGGCCATCTTAAGATGGAAAGGGAAGATAAACGCTATTTGCTTCAAAGGAAAATCTACGTGGCTTGTTTCATAGTAATCTGTTTTAGCAAGGAGCTCGGTTTTTTTTGGAATTAAAGTCTTTGGGATTCGGTTCTTCAGCATCTTATAATATACGAAAAAGATCTCTTTTCTTTGGAAAGAAAACTGAAATGCAAGTCTATTGCACACAAAGGGAGTTAGGACAAACGAACTGCAACGCAACACTATATAATAACCAATCAAATATAATCTTATTTTTTTTCTCTTTTTGCATGTTCTTCTCTACTTTACTATCGACGTTATTAATGCAAAATACTATATAATCAAACCATATTAAATGTGCTCAAAAAAATGTCTCACCACAAAATTATTAACTGCAAAAAACTGTGAAATCGATCACAATCAATTCGAATAACAATAATGAAACAATTCGGTTTTGGGCGTGATTTGGCTACTCTTCAACAAAACAACCGGTGTCAATAACATGTCAAAAAAAAAAAATCAATCCAACAACAAAATCTATTTTTGTTTTGATGTTTTTTTCTCTTTGTTCGTTGATGTGTTTGCGAAATTATTTTGTACTGTTTAACCACAAACAAAACAAAAAAAAACACATAAATTTTTTTTTCGAATATCAGTCAACCCATCAAAAGAAACAAGCCCAGGTATATACGAATTACTTTTAACATTTATCATTTTCTCTTAGATTCCCTTTAGCATTGGACAATTTAGCCGTTGATTCTGTATTTTTTGGTTTTATTTCCCATTAGATTTGATTTGTTTCAATATAGAGATTTCCCTATCCTTGTTTCGTTCATGTAGACCATTTCGTCCCAACGTAGCATTTTCGTTTTTGTCTTTGTTTATCTTTGGGAATTGATTTTTTTATGCGATAATAATTTTATTGATTTTTTTCTTCATTTATTGGGGTTTGTTTTGGAACTCCATCCTATAAATGGTTACGTAGTCGGGCTGGTATAATATTTATTTTTAAAAAAAAGTCGATTTTTTCGGCAAATTTTCTTTACTAACAACTCGAACCTGCTGCTGTATGTAAGAGAAAGCAATGAATAGAATGCTTTCCACTACACACTCTCTATCACACGCCAATCGCCTTACCTTCTCTAACACTTTTTCTCAAATTCCTATTTGCACCCATTATTTTGTAATTTTGTCTTCACTTGACGAATGTTTGTTGCTTCTATATTGTTTTCGGTTGTATCTTGCATGTGTTGATAATACAGTCCACGGATCACAAGGATCCGTTTCAATCGATCGATGTCAATTTTATTAATTTGTGTGTGGCATTGTTTTTACAGACGAAATTCGGAGCACGTTGTCGTGCTTGGAATATTGCACAGTTTAATCAAGAGTCTCCGCCCACGATTCGTTTACGCTTAGATGATGAACTCAAAGTACCTGACATTACCGATGGATTCACGGTCAAGGATAAAAAAGAAGTATTGGGGTGAGTTTCGTTTTTTCATCGAATTTTTTTATGATTTGATCTTGTATACCAGGATAAACCTATAGCTTTGTGTCAATTTATTCAAAACATTTTTTCTTGTTGCAGTTGGTTCAACCACAAACTCGAAGCGCGATGTAAAGATTTGTCGCTGGCTTTGTCGATGAGCACAGTGATTGGTTTGAATGATTTAGCCGAGGATGAAATTATTTCGAAACCGTTGCCAATGGAAATTCTGCTGGAAAACCTTAAAATCACCCTGATCGAAGATCGACCGCCAGTGAATATCACGTCACCTGGTTCGGTTCCAATCAATTTGCAAATTGGACACATGCGCGTCAAACGCAATGAGATGGGCATATTTGAAATTCAACCCTATGATTCAATCAATGACGGCACACAGATAAACACTATCATTCCAATGGATACGGAAAAAAGCAAACGAGAAAGGGATCGAGAACTGATATCATTGCAGCTGGTCATGCAGCAGCTCAAAATTGACAACGACAGTTTGAAGAAGCAATTGAATTTGATCGAACAGTCGAGTGAAGCAAATACGTAAGTAGCAGCTGGTTGTAATATGACACGTTGAACGTGTTAATAGCCCTGTTTATTACCAAATCATGATAATTCATTGATTTTCAGATCAAAAGCACGACAAGAGAGTGATGTTCTCAAGTCGTACCTGAAGAAGGCTCAAGATGACATTCTTGTGCTGCTGGATGAAAAACGAAAACTTTTGGACACCGTGCGCAATTTGCAGGTGAGCACAAAATGACTTTTTATTCATTACATGTTCGGGAAACTAACCAAAATTCCAAAATGCTTTAATTTCGTCCATTTTCATTTGCAGCAACAACTCGTATCGAAAGACCATAACCTGAAGAATGATGGTAGTAGGTAGCATCATTGTATGGACTGTATACAATGTTGCGTAGAGAATAACAATTCTTAATGCCAGATCGAGTGAGCCATTTATACAGTCGTGATAAAAGTTGGGCAATGCTTGAAATTGTTCGTTTCGAGTCTGAATTTTTTCAAGGATTTTTTTTTTAATTTCGGAAAAACACTTACCATTTGTGAGATTTTTATGAATTTCCCGTTCATTTCAATCAAGTGTAAACATTAGACATTAAAATAACGTTCCAATTCATTAATGTTGAAATGTAATAAAAGAAAGAAGAACACAAGATTTTGTCTCAGACATAGTTAATTTTAAGTTCAATTGAGCCGTTCGATAGTTTTCGCTCGGTCGAATGAATAATGTATGCACGCGTCTCGGCAACGGACTGCCTTCAAAATAGACTATGGTTGAGATACACGTGATACACACACAAAACAGCAACAAATTTAGATATTTTGAATTTTAAACAGTTTAAAGATCGTTTCATTAGAAGAATCTCTATTGATGTGAAGCAATTTTGCAATTGAATTATTAAATTGAACTAAAGCACTGAAAATTGTGATCATTTAGTATGAATGTATAGATAGATCAATATTTGAAAAAAAAAAAAGATAAAAATTCATAGGGGAATTTTCGAAGAAAACATAAAGAAAAACGTTTAATTATTTACTTAAAGAAGAAAAAAAAAGATTATATCTATGAGATTGTGACTGAGCACTATATTCAATTCTATTTTGTTAAACATATATTCGATTGATTTAAATTGTAACATGTTTTGATTTAGTTCCGAATGGACCAAATTAGGGAACACGATAGTTGGATATCGCTCGAGTACTGCATTCGGGCAGCTCCTGGTGTCATTTTGAGCGTTCCCTTGAAATTCTAAAATTTGATCACGCTTCTGTACTGATCAAAGCACTGACAATGAGTGATGTTTGGAATTAATAAATTGATGCCTCGAGCTTTGAAATTGTCCGCTCTTTTTCTGTCGAATAAAAAGAAAGAAGAAAAAAAAACAAAGAGAATGCACTGTTTATAAAAAATTTCTAGCAATTTAATTTTTATTTCTGCGTTCGTTTTTATTTTTCAGTTTAAACGGTAGAGCTCTGTAAAGTATCATAAATTTTTACGGCAAAAATGAGGTGGTGCACCTTAGACGCAATGAATATGTTTTAATTCGCAAAGATATTTGTTGTTCGCATAGCATTTTTTCGTATATGTCTATTTCGTAAATATGTTTACTGATTTTAAAAAGAAATCCAAATAGAAGACAAAAACCACATTTTTCTGCCACAGAAAACAAAACCATACATAATAATATATATCGCTTGTTGTGAATTCTAAGATATTTTGAAATATATATATATATATATTTAGAAACTTCGAGTATTGTCTTCTGGACAAGACATAAATTCAATATTTTTTCAAATATAATTGCTCTATTTTCAAAAGCAAACGACAGAGAAAAGTAAGAGTACACAAACAAAAAATGATTGTGCAGATAGAATTGATTGAGACACTTTGGGACAGACGTGCGCGACGGAGGTGCTTTTTCGTTGGTTCCCTTAATTGGTTTTAATAGAATATTCAAAGCCCCGGTCGAAAAATTCGAGCTCGCGCACGTCTGCTTTTTTTCTTTTTTTTTTGGTTTATTTCATGAAAAGCGGACGTCTTTTTTCAACATGGTTCGGTTGGTTAGGTGACGGCGTTTATTTTGTTTTTCTTTTTTTAAATATTCTTTTTCTTTCGGTGAATTACGATTATGAAGCCTTAATAAAACAGTTTCTGAAGATGCCTCAATCGATTCCTGTTAAGACAGTGCTTTCAAATGAAAATATTCCTTTTTCTCAATTGAGTGTATTTAAAATTTAAATAAAGCAAAGCATACAACTTATTATAAATAAACGACTGAAATTTAAACGAAAAAAATTCAACTTTAGAGTTCATTGTTCAAGAATTTAAATTTAAAAAAAAAAATACAAAAAACTGGAATTGTCCAATCATTCATTCAATATACTATGTAATCAAAGCAAAATCGGTGGGGAGACGAACCAATTCAAGTTGAATAAAAGGGGGAAAACTGAAATTCCAAAAAAATGAAAACAAACGCAACGAATTTAATGAATTTTTCTGTTCATTTAATCAATATTGTATTACATGAATTATCATACGTAAGTAAATCATACAGAATTCAGGCTGAAAAGGATTCGAATTCAATCTTAAAATATTAAATCACATTATTTATTTTGTTAATAAATCAATTCAGCATTTGCATTGTTTTTTTTTTAATTTTCGGTTAGTTTGTTGGCTTCTTAATTTCAAAAAAAGTTGTGTTGAATTTGCATCATTTTTTCCAAATTTGATCTTAGATTTTTCTCTTGTTCTTCTTTTTCTTGTTGTGTATATGATTAAAACGCTAGTAGAATAATATGTTCATGGTTAATATCTAAATTGGGTTAGCATTTTATGTGTGTTACGATGAACGGCTGCTGGTTTTAATTTGAAATTTCGGCTTCGCTCAAGTGCTTCTATTCGCTTAAATTATATATTTCCATTAACTATGCATGACTTTTAAATTTGGCTTGCTTGAGTTGCACCGATTTGCCATTTATTTCTAATTCGCTATTATCTAAACTAAAAAAAAAAGAACATTTCTACTTTAAAATGGGGCTAGGCATGGATTCACTTGTTTTGTTTTGGAACACTCCTTGCCAATGAAAAGCGCAATCGAATTTGACAGGAAAAATATGTTTTCACTACAAAATATCCTTTGAATATTTTCGTTTTTTGAATATTTTATTTTAGTTGTTTGTCAATGTAAAAATGGTGGTAAAAAATTGGAGTCGATGATTAAAAAAATTCACTACAAAAACGCCATAAATTTGTCACTGTTTGTTTGTTTTTGTTTTGTAGTTTCCAAAGAAATTATTCACAACAAGATTATCGTCTTTTAATGGAAAGTTCTCGTGTCAAAAAAACTGGAAGAAAAGTTTGTAGTTTGATATTTCGCAATCATTTTTCATATTTTTACATCAAAAATCATTTCCTGTTTTCATCATTATTTTTTTGTTTGTTTTTAATTCCAAAGAAACAAATTCCGTTTGTCCGCAAATATCGATATAGTTTTATGCAATAAATCGTCTCGAATATCTAAATGTTTTTGTTTTTGTTTATCAAAGCACACGTTTACTATAGTATAATACAATTTTTTGTTCTTTTTTCTGATATTTTCATTGATACCACAATTTGATTATCTAGTATTGATTATGAAGTTGTGTTTTTTGTCTCTTTTTTTTCCATACTAATTGTTATTGTTTTATTCCGCCATTCTAATGGCGATTCATCATTTCCTCATTTCGTTCTCTTTTCAGCGGACTATGCGATCGTTCTTCTTACAACGGTTTCAGTTCGTCCTAGTCCGTGAGCCCTTGAGCAACCAGTGCTAGTTGATCCTTCAAATTGCGGAAGCTTGGTCGATCTTCAGGATGATGTGCCCAGCACTTCTTCATCACCTAGGAGAGAAAAAAATCATTCGGATTAGATTCAGTGAATTTTTCATATGGTAGAAGTGGCTTTTTAGGAGAATCGGCGAATATAAGTTCACTGTTGTCATCTCTTGAGTTATGTGCAACGCACATTGTACACTTCAAGTGGAAAATTTGCATCCAAAAAAAAACTTACCTCATAGATTTCTTTAGCGCAAGCTTTTGGACGCTCCAAAATGATGCCACGTTGCACGCGTTCGACCACCTCAGTATTCTTGAGTCGACCGTATGGCATTTTTCCGCATGTGAACACCTCCCACATCAAAACACCTACATTAAAAGAGTGAGAATGTTTTAGTTTCGGTCCATTTTTGGGAAACATTCGATTTCAATTTTTCAAGAAAAATTATTTCTAAAGGATGAAAAATCCATTTTCTCACACTTACCGTATGCCCAAACATCACTCTTCGACGAGAATCGTGTGTAGTTCAAAACTTCTGGTGGTGCCCATTTGATTGGAAACTTGGTTCCGCCGCTGCTTGTATATTGATCATCAAGAACATAACGAGCCAGCCCAAAATCGGCCACCTTTACTGTGTTTTCTGAACCGACTAAACAATTTCTGGCTGCTAAATCACGATGGATATAGTTGTGTCGCTCCAAGTATGACATTCCTTTGCAGACCTAATGAAAAATGGAAAATTCGTTAGATTTGATTCTTTTGAAAATGAAATCTTACTTTGAAATAAAAAAGGTAAATCATCCTGAATAAATAAGCCAGAATGTGATGTAAAAGCTAGCGTCTGTACCTGTATGCACATATCCAACAAAAGTCCCATATTGCCAATCAACGACGTCTCATGCCGTCTGAGGTAATTTAGGAGAGATCCATGTTTCATGTATTCCGTTACGATGTAAATTGGTCGATGTTTTGAGCAAACACCATATAGCTGCACTAGATTCGGATGCTGTAGCTTACTGTAAAAGGTAAACGAAGGAAAATGATGTTAGCAAATGAATCGTTTTCCATTTATAATGCAACTCAAAGTAATTGAATTAGCAAAAAAAATCGTCATTTCATTTGAAAACTTACGTCATCACTTTGGCTTCCTCAATAAAATCATCTTCGGACATGGTACCGCCTTTCATCATTTTAACGGCAGTATCGATGGAACCGCGCCACTTGCCACGCCGTACAACACCGAATTGGCCGGAGCCAAGCTCCTCCAGTAGCATTAATTCAGATGGATGAATTTCCCATTTGTCATGCGACAGACCGGCTGTCGGTGGTACTGGCCGATCACAGGGCGATGACTTCAAGCGACATGCCAATCCACCGGAATTGTGACGATGATAATTTATCAAATCGGGTATGGTTTCGCAACAGTGCTTTTCTGACAAGTAATACTCATTTCTGCTATTTTGTTTAATGTGATAATGTTTGACATGTGATTGAGGGCTGGAGGAGAGAGACAAAAAACAAACATCGATTATATTACATTCGAATGCAAAATATGCCGCCTTGTGGAATAGCAAACTTACACTTTGGTATGAAGTGACAGGGTGTATAGACCTTTTGTCGACGATTTTCTTACAACGAAACAACCTTCTTTATCACCTTGTTTGAGTAACGATTCGGCACGCTGACGCGACATATCACCTACATACCATCTGCAATGCGACGATTCAACAAAATATTAATATCAAAACATTTTGAATGGAGAAAACACACATAAGAAATACATTGAGTCGAAACAGAAATAGAACACTTACTCGTATTTATCTAAGCCGAGTGTTTCTTTTGGTTTCACATAATTGCTGGGTATATATCCAATGTTGCCGTGTTGATCTTTAACCTTCCACCAATGCTCTTGGGAATCGTCGATGATTTCATATTCGGCGTTCTATAAACAAACACACAAAAGTCATTTAAATAACGTGATGCAGCAGCAGTTGACGAAATACCAACAGAAAAAAAGACAAGAAACGAAAGAAAAAAACGTACCTTTTCTAATGACAGATCACCGCCTTCGATGGCTTTGAATGGATACAAAGCAACAACGATTCGTACATGCTGTGCAGAGTCCTGAAAATGAATCAATCATTTTATTTTACCGTTAGTCACAAATACTGTTTCTGAATGGAAAATGAGTGTGAGTGTGTATGGTTTGAAATGCGCTCTAATTAAACCAATTCGATTTGCATTAAGATTGGTATATTGATAGTGAGGCCCGAAGTTGAAATACCTATTTAACAGATCATCATTAATCAATTTTTACCTTCAACGTCAAACAATTGTACACATTACATCAGACAGACCGTTTTCATTGATTCGAAAAGCCCAAACACTTGACGTCAAAATCGAAATGAAAGAGAAAAAATAAATTGGAAAAGTTTTCGCTTTGCTTTGGTCCAAGTTGAAGGTAAGCGATTCGAATTACATCATTAAGAAGTGCTTAGTAACCGAAACCGAATACAATCCCATATATTAATCAAGTTGAATGACATGTTCTATGATCGATTCGACGAGAAACCAATACTCGTGGTATTGATTTGAATCAATAAAAAATAATAAAAAGAACTTCGGTTCGTCCGATTCCATTGATTGCCCAGAGTGTGTAACAAGTGTTCAAAGATTGGTAATAAAGATAAGGCAAAAAAGTTTGTTTGACGAAAATAAACCGTATTTGATCACTTTTAGTGGCATCGAGAGCCAATACCAAATGAATCAATATTGATTTTTCTTCTGTTTGTGATGTGATTTAAAGTCGGATGCAATACTGAACTCAGAATCGGTTGAAATATACTGATGGGAACGTTTATCGATATTGCTATCGAATGAATATCACAGTAATTTTTCATAACATTTTTTTTTCATGATTGAGTAAAAGAAATCCCTTGGGCATATCCGTTCAATCCCCACAAAATCAACTGTTCATATTTTGTTGCGCCATCGAAATGTTTTTTTTGCTCTCTCTCTCTCTCTCTCTCTCTCTCGGATCATAAAAGAGTCAAGATAACATCTTATGGATGAGACAAGAACTTAGTAGATGAAACAAAAAAACTTCAACTTTTCCGTCATTTATGAACGAAAAAAAGGAGAAGATGGTTCAAGGAGAACAAACCTTTGACTTTGAGTTTGGCGTTCCTGGAGTTGCTGTACCGCCTGGCATATTTGATGATTCACTGATACCACCGTGGTTACCACTTCCGTTTGTGATGGGCGTTTTGAATGTTGTTACGGATGACTGCATAATGGTCAAATACAATGCATTCCAAAACGAAGACCAAATACAACAACAACACACCAAAAATGTGCATGAGTGCGCGCGCATACCGAGGAGCCGAGCGGACAATCGAAAAGAAGAAACATATTAGATTAATTATGGGGTGTACATTAAATGAAAATGCATAAAACAAAACAAAAAAACACACAAAATTATGAACAGTAGATGCAGGTACGACACACAAAAAAAGAAACAATGAGACCGAGAGCGAGGCCGATTCTCATCATCAATAAAGACGTAAATTAAACGATGTTGGTGAACAACGACGATGAAGACGACGCAGATCATATATATACGATATATTAAACTGAAATATGTAACATTTTTTTCTTTCTCTCTCCAAAATTCCTTCTTAAACGCCTTCGCCGATCAAACGAACGAAGAAAAATTGGCCAACAGAACGATTGCTTTGGGTTGAAGTTCTTTGTTTTATTGAGTAAGCATATTCTTTTTACTGAGCAAACGTTTACTTTATATATAAATAGAAGAGATCGAGCGCAGTCGAAATAAAAATGGTGAATGAAAATGGTTCGGCAAAAGGTTGGAATATAAATTAATAAAAGAACCTGTGTGTACGATTCACTCCGGACAAATAAAATACACAGACCCACAAAAACAAACGATATTTAGAAGCAAGAGAGAGATAGAGAGGGAAAAAAACGTGAGATAGTCCTCTATGTGATCGCATTTAATGTGTCGTGTCGTTATTTGCTTGCCGCTGCTGCTGTGCTATTTTCTCTCACTCTCTTAGCCCGGGAGGAGACGAGCGACGAGAAACGAAAATCGAAATGGAACGAAAGAATAACAACAAACCAATGTTCCTTTTGACGCGACCGATTCGTTAATAAATTATGCGAGAATTTTGTTATTTATTGAAGTTTGAGGTGGACGTATGAAAATATTCCCATACCAGATTCGAAATCAGTTTGTTAACATCGATGCACAATTTTGGTTCTCATTTTTTTTTCTCTGTATCTTTTTCGGTTTTTTTTTTGGCATTGATCGTCGTTCTTATTCAACAATTTTTAACACGAGAAAACAAACGAAAACACACGACGCAACAATAGAATTCGAAAGGACTTAGAGAGACAGACAAAGAAGAGGCAGTTTTTGGCGATTTGTTTCTACCTGCGAACGAAAGTCAACTGCGTTTTCATTTAGTGTGTTCATTGCAAATTGCGACCCAACTGTTCAAATAAAACGTAAAAAAGGCAAGAAAATAGCATACATACCGTCTGTTGCGGCGATAAAATGGTTGTCAAACTTCCAGCCAAACTGGCTGTTGTTGCACTCTTCTGTAATTGCTGATGTATAAATTGTCCCGGCGAAGTCGAGTTTGGACTTATACTTCGCGTTGAACTTTGCGCTGGAGAATTTCCTGTTCCTGATGCGAAAAAAAGAGAGAAAAAGAATAATTTCAATTAGTAAGGAATGCTGGTGGATGGAATGAACGCACACAAATCATTTTTTAATCTCATGTAACAATCAAAAATTAGTATTCATATTGCGCATTGGGAATCATCACAATGGAATTTCATACACGATCGAAAATACTCGATGCATCGGAAGTAGCTGTAGATCGATGTTATCTGTTGATCTTAAGTTACGATCACATATATTGAATAAATTAAGAATATAAATGGATAACTGGAAACACACAGTGAGAGAGAGAGAGAGAGAATGAGGCGAACCAACGCGGATCGTGATCCTCAATAAACACAGTTCGCTTGATGAGTAATAGGATGTGCGATTGATCTTTGAGTATAGCCGCCGGCAGTCGCTTTCAAAAATACATAAACAATCAAAACTGCGTGAGTTTCCTTTGAACAGAGGAACAAAAAACAACACATCAACATGAAGATAAAGCGAATGTCATTGTCGGCTCGGCTTATCGCAGATTTCCGCTTAAAAACACACATCATTTTGACCAAAATGGCTGTGAAAATGCAGACCACCGACGAATGAACGGCTTTAATCGGCTTTAAATACTATTCACTCGCAATTGTAATCATTTTGTTCGGCGAATTCAAGTGACAAATCGATTCAAACCAGTCAAGGAGAGAGAGAGAGAGAGATTTTGTAAAAGACAAAAGACTGTTTTGCCATGCGTCCATTGTTTTCGATGGCCCGATTTCAATCGCTTGCATTACACATGTAAATTTTCGATTTAAACGCAGCGAGCGAGAGAGGGAGAGAGAGAGAGAAACGGTCGGAAAAAGGTTGACTAATTCGAATACGTATCGCTTTGAAACTTAATGCGTCGGAACAAAATGACCGTTCAATACATCGGCCTCAAAATGACCACAAAGAAACGGTGAACAATTTAATTGTCCATGTAAAAGTCGACATGAATTATCGAAATGAGTGTCAGGCATTTGATATTGTTGGTGTGAGAAAAAACCACACCACGCATTTTTTTCTCGTTGTTTCTCATTTTCGAAAAGCGAGCAAACTGAAAAATGAGTGTGAAGGGAACCGACGCCCGATGATACGCCATAATTAGCACACGTCATATTTTCTCCGTGAATGCGTTTATTAAGCGAAGAAATTAACCGTAGCCCAAAGTGGTTTTATTCACCCAAAAGAGATTCACTCAACCAGCACTCACACCAATAAATGTATCAAACAAATTATGGAAATAGTTTTTCTTTACGATGTGAGCCAGTGTTGTTGGCCGCTGAGTCGACGACTGATACAGATCTTAATCAGTTTTTAACGCATATTTATGTTCTGCTTAATGTCCGCTAATACATCATAAATATAATAATAATATCGCAGCCCATTTGAGGTTGCAACCCAAGTGAGATTATTTTTTTTTTTGCTTTTTTTCGGCCTTGCCACACCAAAAAATCCGCACAACCAAAAGAGAGCGAGAAAACAAGTCCATGCAAAGAGAACGAAAAGTGTTTCGAGCGAAAAGAATGAGTTCGAAGGAAAAGACACCGAGTTTTGATTAACCTACCCAATTAAAGAATGCAATGGAATAAAAATGTTGCTAAACGAAAACGAGGCAAAAGAACGTGCAAACGTATGGGAGCAAGAGCAGTCGAAAAAAAATCACACAGCCAGCTAATCACCGCTTCATACAATTTGGTCTTGAAATCATGCCTTTTTTGCCATTCGCCTTGCCTTGTGTCTTTGGCAAATAATCAGTTGGAAACTTAACACATGAGTGCATTCACAAATGACCACGTCAAACAATCGTTAATACGCGCTGGCGAAACGATAACGAGTGTGATCACTTTTTGGTGTGTATTTGTTCCAATTTTTAATTTGTTTTTCCCTCCAAAATAGCCTTCAAACCGTTTGAATCAAACGATTCCAATTTCTTTGCATTCAATTCGAGTGCACAATGTTTGTTATACACTGTTTAATGATGTATAATTTGATGAAATTGGCAAGGCATGAGGCAGCTCGAATAGCAGCGTCAGTGCATTCATGTAATTGTGTGCAACTCCCATTTTGTCATTAATTTCACCATAAATCACAGGTAGCAATCTTCAAGCAGCAATAAATACGAAGAAAAATCATCATAAAACATTTAGAAAAGTTGACTAGGTGATTCACTGTATCGGTGTCGAATAACAATTCAATTAACATTTTCTCCGAATCCCGTACACGATCGTAAAAAAAGCAAATCTAGCACGAATTACATTCTTATCGTCGGATATAAATCGATTCCGCTTAAATGCCACAAATTACAAATCTTCTTTTCTCTCTCTCTCTCTCCGTTGTTGTACTTATCCGTGGAGAAAGCATCAACGTTTTTTTTTCTGTTCGTACAAAATGATCGAAATACAAATAAAATACAGAGAATCAAGAGTCAAACCGAAATACATACAGAGAGACAAAGAGAGAAACAAGAAAAATGTACGGCACATTAAATTGTTGCAGGCAACAATAACAGCAGCCGCAGCCACAGCATTGAAACAGAAAATACGGAAAATAAATTAAAGCCATAAAACGAAGAAAGATACCAAAATCGAATGTATTAATAATAACGACATGAAAATACGATTCATCTGGATCACGTTCATTCTCATAATTCGATCGTAAAAACGTACAACGATTATTTTGTTAGTCTCACTGTCTGTCGCTCTTAAATCTGGACAGAGAGCGAGAGATGGAGCAACTAAAATGACCGAAACGAGTGAATAAAAGAGAGAAAATTATTATTTTATCGTAATCATTCCGTGTATTTTTTTTTCCTCGTTCAGTCAGTCAATTTCGTGGATACATATATATATATATGTGCAGTAGCGAGATGACTGAGACAAAGTCGAGTGATAAGTGTGTCGATTTTTTTGAGTGCCACAATGGTCATCAACACAGCACATCGCTCACCGCTGAGACTTTGTATTGGATACTAGAGTCGGGTTGTAAACGACTATTTTTGTTTCGTTATCTTGTGTTTCGTGTCCAAATGCATCATATGATTTTTATTGGTTCAACAGTGTCGAGTCATCGTCATTAAAATTCAAATGCGCGCACTATGATCCGCGGTACATTTTAAGCGAAGAAAAAGACGTCGCTTTTTGACTTCGTGGTGAGCCTTTTAATGGAAATCACCCGTATGTCATAAGAGGGAACAAAGATATAAATAGAAAGAGAAAAAAAACAATGACACTGCCGGTTATTGTATTTTCAAAGGTAGTTTGAACACGTAAAATCAACGTCATAAACCGAAACAAAGTTGAAGAGAGAAAAAGAAACGCATTATCAAGATTATCCTCGCTTTATTTCAATCCCTTGATATTTGTTCACTTGTTGAACACGATTAATTTCATTGGGTTGGTATGAATGACATCGAAGATAACACATATTATTCAACACATGTTGTAAAATGACCGAAACATTAATTATATCGCACTGTTTGCATCTAACGTTGATTTCGACGAAGCCGATATGAGAGCTGACGAGGAAAAGTGACAGGTCCAAGAGATTAGTGATTATTTAATTGGAATCGTATCCAATGATTAACATTTTTAACAGCAATTCCTATGTGATTTGCTTGAAATTCCAAAATCTCTTTATCTCTTTCTCCATCGCACATCCACATATCCCGAGAATTGCGCATTTTTTGCTCTCCCTGTGGTGAGAGAATCGCCTATGCGAATTGAATTTTAAATTACATATATTGACAACGAAAACATATGTTTCCATTCAAAGTGGCCACCTGCTAATAGCATGATAACATTACAAACTCATAAATACTGCAGGTGCAAAGCTTCGGCACAAGTTGCTTTGCATGAGCAAGCCATCCACATATCAACCGGCTAATTGATTGAATCGAACCAAAAACTGTAGAATTTAATCTTATTTGTATAGATTACAAATCATGTGTGTAATTAAGAGGCATGGAATGATAGGTTTTTTCTTAAATGCCAAAAACGCGTTCAACGTAGTAATTAATTAACGCGGCGCAATCAAAATGGACATTGTGTGTGTGATGGTGCGGAATGGTTTTTGTTTTTTTTTCTCTACACGGGTTGATTGGTTTGAGCGGTGTGTGTGTGTGTGTATGTTTCTTTTTATTCACCTGTAAATCTAGATCGACTACGGAAACCATTAAATCAATTGCATATTTCTACCTGTTTTAGCGAGAAAGAAACCCAATCAAAATTATTGCATTAAATTAATTCTAATTCCAAATACATGCAATTTTTCCTTTTAAATTGGCCACAATTGAGAGTGGATTTTCATTAAAATCTGAATGTTTTCTGTATCAACAAATTACACATTTTAACGATGTTTGGCTGCTATTTTCGAAATTCCGCATTCAGATAATGCATGCGTTCAACTTTTGGTCGTGGATAATTGAATGGTGATCAATAAATAAAATGCGACCGAATGCGACCGAATGCGAGCACTGCAACAATTGTACACACACTGAAAATGACCACTTGATTTACTTGAAAAAATGGTTTGCAGACACGTTGTCGCTTTGAGTCATTGCCGCGTCCAAGTGGCGATACAATCAAAGCCAAATACGTCGCAATCGATTTTACAAACGACACATCATAACGAGCGAAAAAACCAGTACTTCACACAAAAAACAACAACAACAAATCTAGTTTAATTTGTTGCTTGCTCGATATATTTCGCTAAATTTTTATCGAAAAAAACCGGATCGCATTCATTTCGAACGAGAAACAAAAAGAGCAACCGAGATGTGCACGATAAGAGCATCCACTTGACGATAAAGTATATATGTGCCAGTGCTTTGTGTGCAGCAGCTGAAATGAAAAGTGCCGGCATTTAAAGCGATATTCGCGTCAAATGTGGCCACGGCGCGTGATGATCTCATTAAATATGGATATTTATGAATTTGTTCTTGATTTGTAATTGAAACTGTTGTGCAAACAAGCATTGCTTGCGTTGATT